ATGCTGTGCTGCCTGTCCTAGGTGTGCATAGGGATGGAGTACCTCAAAGTGTGTTTACTTTATGTGTAGGGTGCCCCAAGAAAGAAGAGGGCAAGTGTGGGGATTGCAGAAATGGCTACAACACTCTGCAGCTCCTTCCATCAGGAGTTGATGACCATTTCCCCATCCCCTGAGTTTGGCTTCACCTTGTGACTTGCTTTGACCAAGAGAACGTGGCAGAAGTAAGGGTGTGCAAATTCCAAGCCTCGGCCTCAAAGAAGCCTTGTGGCTTCTGCTCTGTCCATCCCTGGAAGCCTGCTGCCACAGGAAGAGGCCTGGGGTGGGCTAGCCCGCTGGTGAGAGGCATGTGGCCCAGTTGCCATTGCCCCCCGCCGACAGCCTGCGGACTGCCAAAGTGTGCGTGAGGCCGTCCATCCTAAACCCTCCAGCGACCTGCCACCTCACCATAGACACATTGTGAGCCCAGCAGAGCCAGGCTAGAAAGTGCCCAGCTGACCCACAGACTCAGGAGCAAATAAATACATGTTTATTGTTTTAAGCCACTGGGTGCCTTGTTATGTAGAATAAATATAGCAGGAAATACCTCAAAGAGAAGGCAGATATGCAGTTGGGGAGGTGGAGGAATTCCCACCAGGCAGTATGGATGAGTAGAAATTCTTCAGGCAGGGAAAAGAGAGGTTCAGAGGAAAGTGGTGGGGGTTGTTAGAGAACCAGCCTGGGTGCCTCAGAAACCCAGCAACTCCACCTCTTCTGCCTTCCACCAGACAGAGGAGAGGGGCAATACTTTTCTGGAGAGAAACTCTGCATAGACAAAGCTGAAAACAGGAGTACTCTGCTAACTTTGGGTCGTGAGTCCCCAACGAGCATGAGGTGGCCACCTCTTGACAGACACGGTGGTGTTGCACGTTGGGCAGAGGATTCCACAGAGCCCCCGGCCTCTGCCTGGGATCCCGTGTGCCAGGGAAGGGCTCCAGCTGCTGACATTGGAGCAGCCGTGATACGGGCAATGAGCTCGGTGGGCCTATACTCATGCGTCAGCCGCGAGAATGAGAAGTGGAAAGAGGGAAGAACTATTTAGGATGTACAAGAGACAAGAAAACTTGGAGCCCACTGAAATGGAGGGAGTGGCCACTGGGGGTGGGGCAGCCTGAAATAACACTGCTTTTCCGAGTACAAAAGGATGCCCCCCCAACTAACAATAGGGGGGAAAAGATTAGATGATACGTGTCAGACGTCATCACCATATCCAGTGTACTTAGGGTATAATCATGTCTTTTTGGTGATGACATTGGCAATTTTTTGACATAGTCTGCCATCTACCCTTGTTTTAAAGGGTTACCCTTCCATGAGGCATTTGAATTTTAAAAAGAATCAAAGTCTGCAGGTAAAACGGGGGGGATGATACGGCGTTGGTAGAATTTCAGGCAGCCATTGACAGTGGAACAGGGGTTTTTCTTTTACGTTGGCCCTTCCCTGGGCTCTTGGCCTCGGTGCCAGCCACGGAACCACAAAAAGCATTCCCTAGGACTTCGGCGTAGGACACCTTTAATTCTCTTCTCCCAAAGTTGCCAGCGTTTCTCGCACTTGGGGGAGCGCCTCTTCCCGCTGCCGGGCGCGGGGTGGGGTACAGGCGGCCGAGCCGCGCGTGGTCGCCAGAGGGCGCTGCGCCGTCGCCGGGCGCGCGGCCGCCTGGGCGTGTGGCCTGGCGTGGGCATTTTTGTGTTGTTGAAATGCCAGCGTTGACTGCTCACTCCCTTCCCAAACATGTTTCTAATTTACCCAGTATCTCTTCTACGTGAAACACTTAAGAAGGGAAAAAATGCATGCTTAACTTTAGTTCCAGGGTGGGCAAAAGGGGTTTGACACCAAATGCAGTTTGTCCCGGAAACCTCTTGGACTGGGGCAGCACAGCCAGCAAGGGCTCCCCAGACGCTGCTCCCCGGCCAGGACAGAGGCACGCTGAAACAAACACCCGGAACCCAGCCCTTGGCAATGCTCTTGCTAAGAAGCAACAGCCCGCGGGCGTTCCTCGCTAGCAGACGGGGTCGCTTCCGGCCACCAGATTCGGGAGCTGGTGGCACAGGAGGACGGGGCCGCACGGAGCGGGCCGAGCAGGCGGCTGAGCCCGCCTGGCCGCCGTGTCCCCCGCGGCGTGGGCGCCCCGGGTAGCAGAGGAACCCGGGCTGGGCTCCGAGGACCACAGCATGGGGGGGGTGGGGCATAGTCGGGGCGCTCCGGGGCACCCGTGCGGGCACAGGGCGACGTGCGGGAGGCAGAGGGCAGGAGGACGAGGAGGAAAGCCGCGGGGGTGGGGGGAGCCCTGTCTGATGGGGGTGGCGGGGACGGGGCCTCTGGCTTGGGTAGAAGCTAACAAGCCCGACCGCCACAGACAGAAGTCATCAGCGAAAAGACCCGAAGCCGTTTGAGCGCTGAGAGGGCTCTGAGAGAGAAAGCTACTAATCGCGGGGTGGGGGCCGGAGTGGGGGCCTGGTGGGAGTGTCTGATTGGCGGACACGGTATGTTTTTCAGACCAGAAAAAAAAAAGAAAAACAGTCCCCGGGGGAGATTTCTCAGTCACTTTTCTCCTGCTGGAAGCTGCTTCTTGTTGGAGCCTCCTGGGATTGGCAGAGTTAAAATCCTTTAACCCAGGATGCCTTGGGCCTTTTGTTCAGCTCTGACAATGGAATTGGGCGGAGGGGGCTGGGAAGGCAAGGAGCCGGGTCCGGGGTGTCTCCGTGGTGTAGGGGGTCTGGCGAAGCTGTGTTCAGTCACTGGGTGAAAAAAAGCAATTTAGTTGTGTGTGTGTTGGGGGAGGGTGTAAAGGAGCCCAAGGCACGGGGCACCAGCTCGTTAACACATGTGTACGAGCGCCTCCTGTGCGCTCAGCAAACCCTTAATTACCCAGGGAGACCTTCCAAAACGGAGAACTCAATATTGGTCCCTAAAAGGTTGGGTAATGGGTTTTTCTTGCATCAGGAATCCAAGCAACTGATCTCTGGCTCCCCTGGGCTCCCAGATCCTTCTAGATGTCTTTGTCTTCTAAAATTCTGTGCTCCCACAGGACAGCACTTAGTTAAGGACACTCAGAAGTGCATACCCTTCAACCATATTAATCATCCTAAAGCCTTTGCTTTGAACATATCCTGTCCTTGGTTCATAATCGTCGGCAGCCCCCACTAATTCGGAGGACTTGGAGTTCAAGGACGGCATTCAAGCCCTCCCACCATGCAGACTTCTCCTCCCACTCCCCTCACGCATTCTTCCCTGTAGCCAGCCTGGCCCCTCAGGGTCCCTTGGATATATCTTGAATTCTCCAGCCTCCCTCTCTCTGGCCCTGCAGTTGCCTTCCTGGGACACCTATCCTATTTTCACAGTCCAGCCAATCACATCCCTTTTCCATTCAGTTCTGGCATCGGTCAATCAGCCAACATGCATTACTGAGAGCCCACTATGTGCAAGGCATGTTCTGAGCCCTGGGAATACAGCAGAGACCAAGACAAATACCTGCTCTTAGGGGTTTTATGGGGTTTTTTTCTTTTTTTTTTTTTATGAGGAAGATTGGCCCTGAGCTAACATCCGTTGCCAATCTTTCTCTTTTTGCTTGAGGAAGATTTTCGCTGAGCCAGTATTTGTGCCACTCTTCCTCTATTTTGTGTGGGATGCCTTCATGGTGTGGCTTGATGAGCAGTGCTATGTTGTGTGTCTGTCCCCCGTCCCCATCCCACCCACTCCCCATCCAAACCTGCAAACCCCGGCTGCTGAAGAAGAGCTCACAAACTTAACCACTACGCCACTGGGCAGGCCCCAGGGGTTTTATGTTTTCATGGGAGGGAACAGAGTAGACACAATGCCAAACAATTTCACATGTCAATAAGTCCTACAAAGAAGCTGAACTAAGGTGACAGAGGAGGGGTAGTGGGGGTTGCAGGGTGATAGCACTGCTTTATTTAGACAGGGAAGGCCTCTTTGAGAAAGTGACATTTGAGGCTTTATGGATGGGAAGCGGCAGCCCTGTGAAGATTTGGGGAAGAGTGCTCTAAGCAGAAGGGATAGTAAGTGCAAAAGCCCTGAGACAGGAATGCTATTGTTCTGTTCAAGACAGACCACGAGCTTGAACAAGGAGATTTGCTGGGCTTGGGAGACATATGCAGGGACTAGATCATCAGGTCCTCCTGGGTTAAGGTAAGCAGGGTGGGTTTCATTTTGGTTGCAATGGAAAGCCTTTGGAGGATATTAAGCTGGTAATGGAGAAATTTCATTTACCCTTTACAAAGATCAGTCTGGTTGCTTTGTGGAGCATGAGTAGGAGCTGAGAACAGTTAAGATGTGGTTGCAGAAGTCCTGGCAAGAGGAGATAAAACCAGGGTTGTGGCTATGGAGATGCTGAGATGTGGTACTGGGTTCTGGACCAATTTTAGAGGTGTAGTAGACAGGACTTACCTATGACAGCAGAGAGGAATAGAGGATGAAGCCTCCATTTTGGGGCTGCCTGGGGTGGATGAGATGCCCATGTGAAGCGGAAGTCTCAGCAGTTCTGTTTGGGCCATGCCAAGACCTATCAGACATCAAGTGGACACATGGAGACAGGTCTGAGTCTGGAGTTCAGAGGCATCTTGCCTTCAGACTTAAATCTGAGAACCAGCATGTAGATGGTATTCAAAGCTGTGGCCTGGAAAATTCCACGTAAGGAAAGAAAAGATAGAAGAGAAAGGGCTGGGGCTGGCCCGGTGGCGCAGCGGTTAAGTGCACATATTCTGCTTCTCGGCGGCCCGCAGTTTGCTGGTTCAGATCCCGGGTGCGGACATGGCACCACTTGGCACACCATGCTGTGATAGGCGTCCCACATATAAAGTGGAGGAAGATGGGCACAGATGTTAGCTCAGGGCCAGGCTTCCTCAGCAAAAAAAAAAGAGGAGGACTGGTAGTAGTTAGCTCAGGGCTAATCTTCCTCAAAAAAAAAACAAAAACAAAAACAAAAAAAGAAAGAAGAGAGAGGGCTGAGACTGAAGCCCCTCCAACATTTAGAGATCTGGTAGAGGAAAAGCCAGCGAAGAAGACTGAGAAGAACAACCTGTGAAGCCGGAGGAAAAGCAAAAGATTGTGATGACAAGGAAACTGAGCAAGGAAGAGTTTCAAGAAGGAGGACATATTGGTTGGCTATCACTGGGTAACAAACAAGCACAAAAATCTCAGTGGCTTATAACAGTAAATATTTATTTTACTCATGCATTTGTGGGTCAGCTGGAGGTCAGCTACACGTGGCTGACCTTGGCTGGGCGGCTCGAAGCTGCAGTTGGGCTTGGGTCTGCTCCACAGACATATCCCTCACCATCCTTGCACCAGCAGGTCAGTTACGTGAGGTTTTTTTCCCCCATGGTGATAATACTGGCACAAGTAGGCAGGTGGAAACACGAGATGCCTCCTAAGACCAGGCTTAGAACTGGCACCATGTCACTTCCTCCTACAGTCCATTGGCCAAAATGGGTCAGGCAGCCATGCCCAAAGTCAAAGAGCGGGAAAGATTACTCTACCTCGAGTGGGAGGGACTGCGACGTCACAGAAAGGGATATGGACACAGGGAGGAGTGGCAAGAATTAGGACCAATAATTCAGTCCACCACAGAGTGGTGAAACATGTTCACTGCCACTGGGAGACCCGATGAGACAAGGACCGTGAACTGGCCACTAATCTAGTCAAGACGTAGGTCACTGGCATTCTTGGTAGGAGGTATTATAATAGAATGGTAAGGCTAAGAGCCCAGTTGGAGTGGGCGGAGGTGAGGATGGGAGGTGAGGAAGAGGAGTGTCAGTATACAGACCACTCTCTCAGGAACATTTGCTCTGAAGAGGTGCAGAAAAATGGTGCAGTAGCCTGAAGGAGATGTGAGGCTAAGCCTAATATGTTTTTAAATTTAGGGAAAATTAAGTCCTGTTTTATTTCAGTGGGAAGGATCCAGTAGAGAGGAAGAAACTGATGATGCCTGAAAGAAAGGGAATACGGGTGCTGGCGAAAGGGGAAGGGGCCCAGGGCACAGATGGAAGGGCTGGCCACAGATGGGCGGGCAGGGTGCAGAGCTGCAGGCATTCCCGTGACTTTGGTGGTGGGAAGATCTGGCAGTTGGTCTGATTGTACCTATTTTCTTTATGAAGGATAGTCTGAGGTCAGACCGAGAACGAAAGAGGAAGGGGTGTTGAAAATACGCCTAGAGGGGAGAAAGTGTGAAATGGTTGCACTGTGGAGAGGGAAAAGGAATTTTCTAAGAAACCGTAGTAGGATTGTCCAGCAGTTCAAATGCCCATTTGAAATTTATGCCATAAATGTGAGGTGACTCCATCCAGAGGAGCTGGGTAATTTTCTTCGGCAGGGTTCAACTGCTCCGTTGCAGGTGTGAAGTAAACAGTGTGATTTAACCACAGTTGGGTTTTCTCCAGGTGGATCCGAGAACAGCGCAAGGAAGTTAAGAGTGTTTGCAGGGGATTTCGCGTGCTGGATTATGAAATCTCAGCTGGCTGAGAAGTGAAGACCTGAAGGGAGATAAATCCTGAAGAAACCGCAGAGCGATGGCCTGGAAGTCTCTGGTAGGAGGACTGGTGGAGCGGAAGGACGGGAGTGAGGGAGCTGGAGGGCTGGCAGGGGGTGGGATCTTTGAGATTTTAAGGATGGTGTAGACATTCAGGGTTCTGAGGTCTAGGGCATGACCAGGAAGCTAAGGTGGGGCAAGAAAAATGTATTACTAGGGCTAAGGCACTCAAGGGACTTATGGGCCAGGGTGTTGGATGGGTCACTAGCATTGATGCTAGGTCACCAAGAGTGATGACAGTGGAGGAGAAAGAGCCTGGTGCTAAAATCATCAAGGGACAGAGAAAGTGACCAAGAGGATGATAAGGTGACACTAATTAGGAGGAGGAGGAGCGGTGGGTAGTAAACCCTGATGAAATGCATTCCAAAGGAGCTGGGTTTTTGAAGGTGGAAGAAGAAACAGATTGGGAACTTCAATGCTGAGTGAGGACATCTCCAGGCCGTCAAGTGCATGGCCTGAGGGGTAAAACAGCCTCTATTGGAGAGGGCTATGGAGACTGCAGTGTCCTCAGGGTACAGGCTGGCTTCAGGAAGAAGGAAGCCAGGGTCCTAGTCTTGGAGGAGACTCAGAGTAGAAGCACGGAGTAGGGTTTGGGAGCGAAGGAAGGGTGGGCACCACGTAGGGTTTGGCAGGTTCAGCAATGTGGGGTACGGGTGGGGCTGAGGTGGGTGGGCGTGAGGCACGATGGGATTGCTTTCCCTGGGCTTTGGAGGCCCGGAGCGGGCATCAGGGCAGCCCCTTTGTGGCAACTTCCCAGATTCCCCCTGGGGGACTGGGGGTGAGGAGTGTTTGGACTTCCTTTTCGGGGAACCCCAATAACTTTGATTGCTCAAGCTTCTCCGTTAGGCCTTATCATCTACTTCCTGCTGTCTTCAGCGTTCTTCCGTGTGAATATCTTGTTGCCTCAATTAGACGCGAGTCCGGGCAGAACCCCAGCTATGCCACTCTGCACCCGCTCAAGTCCAACACAGCACCTGACCCGTCAGGGCGCTTCACAGCTGTTTGTTCATGGAGTTGGATACAAATGCGGTCATGGTTTCCCTTTAAGGCCGAGGACGGGGCCCGTGCTGGGGGCAGGGGAGCGGGGGGGGGTCCCTCTGCCCGGGCGCGCCCCGCCCCCACCCGCCAGCTGCCGCGCGCCCCTCCCCGCGGCCGCCGCGGGCGCCCAGTAACCCGACGCCGCGCCCGCGCCCCCCCGCCCGCCTCCGAGCGGCCAATGGCCGCGGCCAAGCCTCCGCCGGGAGCCGCTGGCTGCGGCGCCGCCCCGGCCGGGCTGGAGCGGGGGCGCCCGGGGGCGAGGGCCTGCCGGCTGCGGGCCCCTCCGCCCCCGCCCCTCGCCGCCTCCGGGCGCGGAGCCGGAAGGCAACTGCGCCACCCAGAGGGCCCAGCCCTCCCCTCCCCGGCCCGGGAGACAGGACGCTGGGGACCCAGGCCCTGCTCAGGGGTTGCCAGCAGAGAGACCTTGGGCAGTCCTGGAAGCTCTGAACCTCAGTTTCCTTATCTGTAGTGGAGGGTGGTACCTACCCCCTCTGAGCGGGGCGATGTGAGGACCCAACCAGGTGAAGGGTGTAACAGTCCTCGTGTTAGCCAGGGCGGGCCAAACCCAAGTCACTGTGACTTGTCCCCGCCCGCCCTGCAGCAGATGAGAACTGCAGCTCTTCCCACCCCCACGCCGGTCCCACTCGCTACCCAGGGGATTCCCTGGGTTCAAAGGCAGCGCCTAACCCAGCTTTCCCTAACACCCCAGCCGGGCCTCTGCTGCGCTCGCTCCCAGGCGGAAGTCAGCTGGGGCGGTTTAGTGACCCTGGGGGAGGCAGCTGGAAGTCCATGCTGGGCTGACAGGATGGGGCACACAGGCAGGGCGCCTTTCCAACTACTGGTTTATCTCTTACCTACTTACTAGGGTGTCAGACGTGCAAAGAGGAAAACCTCACCAACAGTGCCCTTTTCCTCCTCGGATGATTATAATTGCTCGCCCCTGACTGTTACCGTCGATGGGCTACAAATACTTGGGTATTTAGTGGGACCTTCAGTGATCGTGGTACCTAAAAGAATAGCAAACGAGAGCTCAGGAAATACATTATAGCCTGAAAGAAGAGGAGGAGAGAAAGTTTTTGTCAAGGATGCATTATTTGGACATTCACAGCCCCCCTCACCCCCAGGATGGCAGGGCATGGGTCACCTATGGTGATGAGGACACATCAGGGTCCCCAGGTTCTTTGCTTCTGTGCCCATGTCCTTAACAGGCTCCCAAGTTGGCTCCTGGAAACTGCAGCCCTGGCTCACACCCTTTCTCTGCACTGGCCTGGCAACCCTTGGGCACCTTGCCTGGGGCATGGTGTCACAACGGTAAACTGCTGGCTCTTCCCTGGGGCTTAGACTCCAGGGGCTAGTGGTCCCATCAGGCCCTCTGCCCCAGATGGATCCAAAGGCAGGAAGTGACTGGGGAGTCTATGAGGGTTCCTTAATCAGGGAGAGGGAGAGGCCCACCAGTCCGGGCCTGATGTTCTGCAGGCTTCCTGAATTCATTTGCTTCCAGACCTTTTCAGCCTTGCCAAGCCCTGTGTGAAAGATCAGAACAGCTGGAAGTTTCTAGCAGGAAAGCACCAGGTGCTGAGCAGGTCCTCGTCTGCCTTAGAAACAGTTAGGGGCTGGGGCGGTTTGGGGTTGGCATTCCTGCTTTGCAGACAGGCAGGAATTGCTCGCTCTTGGAAGGCAGTGCCACCCCTGAACCTGAGGTGGGATGGCAGTAAACCCAGGACACAGGGCTGGGGACGGAAACTAGGAGCCTCCTCCCTCCCAAGCGACAGGACGACGACACAAAGGGCCTCCTCTGCTGGCCAAGCAGAGGGGATGGGCTCACTGATGGGGAGGGCCAGGACTGTCACCCAGTTAGAGCCAGGCGGCTGCAAATGAAACACAGGCCTCGAAGGCTCAGACAGGCACTCAATCTCTCCCAGAGCCAAGAAATCCTGGCTAGAAACTTGACTACGGAGCAAGGAAAGGCACCGGGAAATACTTGAAACCAGGCGAGACCCCTGGTAATGCTGGACTCCTGACAAACAAGGAGCAGAGCCAAATGCTTTTTTCCCACTTGGCCCAAACACAAAACGGAGCTGGCCAGAGAGGACCCAGGGGAGGTGGCGGAGGAGCTGAGGAGGGACCCAGCAGGAAGAGAAAAATAGGCAGCGGGGTAGTTTTTACCCTGCTCAGACCCCAGAGCTCTCACAGGGCAAGTCAGCAGAGGGGGAGTTCCCGCTTGGCTTTGCCCAAGGCCAAGGTCACTCAGACCCACTGGAGGTTCTCACGAGGGGCTGTGGAAACTTCAACGTGGCAGCGTGGAGTCGCTAACACCCAGTGGCCAGGCTGCATGGGTCAGCTTCCACTAGAAGAAGGGGAGTTTGCAGGGGCAGCTGCTGAGGGAGAGCGGCACCCCCACCCCCAGCCCCAGGCGGTGGAGGGACTCACCTTGGCCCTCAGAACGAGCTTAGTCCTTACGCCTGGGCTCAGCCTGCTTTATTTCAAATGAATCTGCACAGTAGCATGTTATGGATAAAATTTATAAACCTACTAAGCAATGTTCTTTTATTCATATTTCCTGTAATGTGTGAAGGGGAGTTACTTTTTTAAAGTTCTAAAATTAGAGAAAAAAGAAAAATCATTCTGTGTTGAGGATGAATTCAGTGCCTCAATTCTCTTTATCCTTTGCTGGATCTTGGGGGGTAAAAAAGGAATAAAAAGAAATATGCCACAGTACGAAGCCTTCTTCTTTAAAAAAAAAAAAAAAAGCTTCTTTCTGAATATAAGTAGAACATGATCTATAAAAAGAAATTCAGACAAAAGGTATAAAGAAGGGAGCAAAAAAATCACCTACAATCCCACCACACAGTGGTCGCCCTGATAGCACTTTTGTATATTTTTCCTGTACTATTTTCTGTGCGTGCAGATACATGTTTTTACATGAGACAAAATTATTAACATGAGTGGTCCTAGGCTTTCTCCTCCCCCTGCCCACTGAAGAAAATCCTGAATTTGTCTGTTCGGTTTCCCCTCACTTCTGTCTTCTAGAGAGAGGAAGAGTTATTACGTGCTGAGAAGAGCTAAGTTATCTACATAACAAAGCAATGCAGTGGGACGAGGAAGAGGTCCAGAGCAGGGAAAAGTCAGGAGCGTGTTCAGACTGTAGCCCATTCGAGGCTGTGGAGCAGCTACAGGGCAGAGAAAACTGGGCTTGGAGGAAGGAGCCTCTGAGAGGGGCCGATGTGATTACAACCTGGAGGCTTTTTATTTTTTTATTTTTTATTTTTTTGAGGAAGATTAGCCCTGAGCTAACTACTGCTTGTCCTCCTCTTTTTTTTGCTGAGGAAGCCTGGCCCTGAGCTAACATCTGTGCCCACCTTCCTCTACTTTATATGTGGGACGCCTACCACAGCATGGCATGCCAAGTGGTGCCATGTCGGCACCCAGGATCCAAACCGGTGAACCCCAGGCCGCAGAGAAGCGGAACGTGCGAACTTAACCGCTGAGCCACCGGGCTGGCCCCTGAAGTCTTTTTAATGTTCTTCCAGAAAGGTGATTAAATAATGGAATTTATTTTGTATTAATTTTGCCCATTAAACTATGCACTAAGTCTAAATAGAGACTGAACCCTGTGGTCTCCCCTCTCATTTACAAGGGTTATGTTGTTTAAAGATGAGGTCATATTATGCTTTCTTTCTGTATCCTTTTTTAAATAATTAAATTTCATGTTCAGGTCACTAAGTGACTTGTTGTGTTGTCCTTTTAAACAGCTGCATGGCAGTCCTTCATTTGTCTTCACCGTAATTTATTTAACCCCTCCCCTGCTGATGATCATTTACGTTATTCTATGTTCACTGTTATCAGCAATTACTCAGAGGCTATCCCTATGTGTATAGGTCTCTGCACCCTTGCTGACTTTTTGCTTAAGATATATTCCTAAAACCATAACTGCAGGGTCAAAAGATAAGAACGTTCAAAATTTAGCACACAGTGCCAACTCACTCTCTGTAAAGACTAAGCACATTAACACAGCCACCTACACAGCTGGATTCTGCTCTTGAATGGAGTGGTGCTGGCAAGGGAGGTCCCAGTGGGCCCAGTGGGCTGAGACACTGGGAGGGAGTTGAGCCTGGGCACGTGGTGGGGGGAGAGGTGAGGGCCATCCAAGAAGGCAAGAAAGCCCGTTGAAGGCTCTGTGGAGGGTTACTTTTGCTACCCAGCATACTTTCCTTTGGGGAATCACACTTTCCCCATCCACAGTAACCCATTCAGCCCGTGAGCTTTGGGTGGCGCTGACCTCATACCTTCTCCCCGACCCCATTCTGGGCTGGCCACGGGGGTGACCATGTGACTGGAGCCAGATCAGTCAGAAGTCTCCAAACCCTGGTCAAGGGTTTGACCCTTGGATTGGTCCAAGGACAGACACATGACCAAGGCAGGAAGAAGTCTCCTTTCTTGCTCTCTAAGCATCATGTGACACCAGAACTGGCAGCAGTCGTTGGCTCCCACCACATGAGGGCTGCCGAGATGAGCAAGGAGCTGAGACATGGAGACAAAACCCTGAAGCATCGCCAAGCCCCAGGATCCAGACATGTCTGAAGCCAGCAGGGTCCATCTCGGACTTTTCGTTTACAGGAGCCCATAGATCCCTTTTTTCCCCAAATTGTCACTAGATTTTATTTTTTAAGGATTGGGTTTTTTCTTTCTTTAGTTTTTTAATTGAGGTAAATTTCACATAGCATAAAATTAACCATTAACCATTTTAAAATGTGTGGTTCAGTGGCATGGAGTACATTCACTTAGCATGATGTTTTCAAGGTTTATCCGTGTTGTAGACTGTTTAAGTACTTCATTCCTCTTTAGGGCTGAATAATAGTGCACTGTGTGGATATACATACCACATTCTGTTTGTCCATTCTGATGGACATCTCAGTTGTTTCTACCTTTGGCTATTATGAATAATGGTGCTATGAACAGTCATGTATAAGTATTTGCTTGAATACCTGTTTTCAGTTCTTTGGGGTATATACCTAGGAGTGGAATTGCAGGTCATACAGTAATTCTGTTCACATGTTCCTTTTCTAGTTTAAGCTAATGCGAAGTGGGTTTCTTTCATGGAAAACCAAAGGAGTCCTGACCTACTCGGGCCTTCAAAGACAAAGGAGGGTGGCCAAGTGGGGAGCAGCGAGGGAAGTGTTCTGCCTGGAGAGGCTGGCCAGGCGGCAATGGAGATGTGGGACCCGGAACAGGGAGGAGCACATGCTCGAGTGGGAGCACCACCGGACAAAGTATTTTCTGGGCAAGTAGCAGGGCCGTATTGTCTGGAAGACCCACAGAGAAGAGGACTCTTAGAGCAGCTGCTGCGTTGGCAGCCCCGTCTGTGAGAGGAAACGCCCCCTCCTTCCTCTTTTTCTTCCTCCTCCCCTTCCTGCCAGGGCTGGTGCAGAGATGAACCCACAGGAGTAGTCTGGGGGGCAGAGAACACATTTTCCTTTTTAAACGAGAAGGGTTTGTTTCGCTCTGTGCTCCCACGGCTCTGCCAGGGACCGATTTCTCCACGGTGAGGAGCCGCAGGTCAGCCCTCAGAACCACGTTTGAGGATGGCCAGCCACCTTCCAACATGGCCACTCTGCCCGGGACTCCAGGTGGAGTGAAGCTCCTGACCCATCTTAGAAAAGAAATCACTCTCTGCTCCTGCTCCTCTGTGCCTGCCATCCACCCAACTCTGCTCCCCTGATGTTATCAGTCCATTTGAGGGAATCAAACCAGCACAGTTGAGATCCATATTTCTGCTTCTCTAATTGAACACGGGTTGAGACTCTCCTCGGAGTCAGTGTTTTCCCCGCTGCAGAATGTACTACAGGTAGAAAGGGATTCTATTGAATTCCCTTCACATTGAGCCCCTTCTGTGTATGTGTCATGCTGGGCAATGAAGGAAGAGGAGCTGGGCAGGGACAAGGGGTGGCAGGGCACTAGAAATATGAAAAACCCAAGGCTCCTGACCCCAAGGAGCATGCAGCTCATGGGGGAGACAGACGTGTACCCAGGGGAGACAGGTGGCAGCATAAAGCAGAGCAGACAAAATTACTACGATAGGGAAATTTGGTTTTAGATCCTTCCTCATGAATATTTATTTACTTAGTTTAATATATATATATATATATATATATATTTTTAACTTAGATTATTGATTTTAAGCCTTTCTCTTCTTTTTCTTTTTTTTAAAGATTGGCCCTGAGCTAACATTTGTTCCCAATCTTTTTTTTCTTCTTCTTCTCCCCAAATCCTCCCAGTACATAGTTGTGTATTCTAGCTTTGGGTCCTTCTAGTTGTGGCACATGGGATGCCACCTCAGCATGGCCTGATGAGTGGTGCTAAGTCTGTGCCCAGGATCTGAACTGGCAAAACCCTGGGCCACCGAAGCGAAGTGGGTGAACTTAACCACTTGGCTGTGGGCCGGCCCCTAGTTTAATATATATTTTAAAAATTTAATCAAAGTAATACTTTCACATAGTTTAGGAGCTGAGACCTCTTACCAACAGCCAGCACCAAGCTGCCAGGCAAGTGAGGGCGCCATCTTGGAAGTGGATCCTCCAGCCCCAGTCAAGCCTTCAGATGATTGCAGCCTCAGCTAATATCTTGACTAAAACCTTGTAAGAGACCCTGAACCAGAGCTGTCAAGGTAAGTTACTCCTGAATTTCTGACCCACAGAAACTGTGTGAGATAATAAAAGTTTATTGTTGTTTGAAGCAGCTAAGTTTTGGGATAATTTATGTTACACAGCAATAGAAAACTAATATATAATGTTTGCTATTATTATTTTCTTGGGTCAACACCGTGAGCAAAGAAGCTGGGGACGGAGATGTTCTGCCTCAGGTGTGCTGTGAGCAGTATTAATAACTGAGGATACCTTGCTGCTAGGTTGTGCATAATGTGATGGGCTAAGGACCATCTGGACAAGTTACAAAGCTTCTTTTGAAATGACCAGTTTCACACCCATCTGAAGTGTGCTGCAGAAGCCAGTGGTCTCAGGGAGGACCTGCCTGGGCTGACAGACCTCATTCACATGACCTCCAGGGCTCAGGTGACAAACATTAAAATGAGAGTTATGGGCTATTGATCTAATGCAGTTCCCACAGTTAGGAATTGATGGAGCACTTTCTTTAGAAAAGGCAGTCCAAGCGGCAGGTTCATTTGAGTCTGGCCCACCTTTCCAGCGTGTGGAAGCTCAGCCCTTCGCGTGAAAACCTCTGCAGTATTTCCCAGCGACACTGGCTTCCTTCCCTGTCACCAGGAGCTGGACGGAGCTGTGGGGCACATGACAGCTGCGTTTCATCAGCGAATGTGAACTCATGTCCAAGAAGTCCCCACCCCTCTCGGTACCTGAGATTCTGGGAAATCAGCTCTATTTTCAGCCTCTAGGTTTCCTTGTCATTATGAGTGCTGAGCTCCTCGGAAACAGGTGGCCACCGGGGAGCTGAAAAAGAGGAAGATGAAGTGAGACCCACACAGCCCCGCAAGGAGACAGTTCTAAACCCCGAAGACTGGAAACCGTTGTCCAAAGTCCTTTGGGCAGTCACCCCGGAGACGTCCGCTGTGTTTGGGAATACATCTGGCAGGGCTTCCCTCAGGAACCGAATGGTCAGCCAATTTGAGCCTCCTTCCTTGAAAGAACTTCGATATAAAACATTTGAAAAGAGTGTTTTAACACTTCTGTATTTCTTGCTGCTTATTCCTTTCTTTCCTGGCTTTGCTGCTCAGAGACAGACCTTCAGTCCAGCAACAGCTATCTCCCCAGGGCTCTACCGGAAAGCGGTAGAGAGGTGACCACTTTTCAATTATCCCCTGTCCCTGGGAAGAAAGAACACAGAACCCAGGTTTGAGGTTTTGAGGACCAGGGTGCTTACGAGTCTTTCTTCCTCCATCACAGGCTCATGGACTGTAAAGGAATCAAATCCAGCCAACTGGTTATTTAAAAGCCTTCGCTTAGCATTTGATGAGGCGAAGAATGAATTTTGGATTAACCATTAAAATTGACGTCCAATTCCCAGCGGAAATTGAACACGTCCAGGCTCTGTCTAGAGGGTAAATGAGGAAACTGATGTCAAAAAAGTGAAAACTGGGTTTCTTAGAAATAAACAAAGTTTGTGTGGAAGAGAGGGCTCCCCCACGTCTCCTTGGCCTCCACTGTTGTCCTCCCTGAGTGGACAATATCAGTACCATAGCGGAAGGGTAAATGGTGTGTGAATAAGTTGTCCCTAGCAGCAGCTTTAGACAAGGCTGGCAGTGAGAGAAAAGCAAAAATGAAGTCAAAGTAAAACACCGCCAATGCTTCTATTGCAATTTGCATCACATTACCCATAATGATTTGTAATTTTACATTTAAAGCTATTATCTTTTGGCAGACACCTTGACTTTAAATAAGTGTCTGTTACCCCAAGGGCCTGCGGCAAACTGTGCCTCGCATCCCACAGCAAGAGCAGAGTGAGGAGATCCATGCAGGAGGGCCGCATCCAGGCAGCAGCCTCGCCAGCCTGAGGCTGCACCTCCCTGCTGGGCGTGAGGCTGCCCTAGGTAGACACTTACCACGGTCACTGCTTTCGTGACTGTCATCCTGCCAAGGGCTTTAAGCTACCACCTTCCATTTACTCCCGCTTCTGTCTGCATAGAAAGAATGGAGTATCTCGCATTCCTCCCTTGGTGCCTGAGGACTGTCTGAGAAGTGCACTAAAGGATCGTCTCTTGGTCCCTGACATCTAGGAACCTACAGTTGCTTAAAAACAGCAAGAAAGCTCCCCAAAGAGCTGCTTGCAGGATGAGAAGCTGGATGGATTCCAGCTGGAGTGCCACTTCCCTCACCCCACCTACCTTTAAGTGACAGCAGACTGAGGAATGGTAGGGGGTTATCACAGAACATTCTGGTCCTTTTGTCAGAGGCTGAAAGCTCCTTGGAGCAAATGACTACACAGAAATTCAATCAGAACAGAAGAACAGGCAGAAGCAAACTGAGGAGCCAGCTGGGGGCTATTTTTCCCCAAAATTCATATTCTACACACTGCTAGGTACTAACATTGTTCAAAGAAATAGGTCAATTACAGAAAGTACCTAACCAGTGTCTGGCACATACTACGTGTGTCAGTTAGCTCTTTGTTTAACAAACCATCCAAAACTTAGTGGCTTAAACCAACACTGTTCCTTAGCTCACGATGCTGCAGTTTGGCAGGCTCTGCAGTAGACTGCCTGGTGGGCTGGGGCCGGCTGGTCTAGGATGGCCTCCGTGGGGGCGGCGCCTCTGCTCCACATGGCCCTGCATTCTGCAGCAGGCTAGCCCAGCCTGTTCCCATGATTTCCAGAGAGAGAAGGGGCAGGCACGTTCTCTTGAGGCCTAGGCTCAGAACTGCATAAACAACACCCACTGCCTTCTACCAGGCGAAGAAAGTCACCAGGGCAGCCTGAATTCAGGGAGCGGGGAAATGGCCGTTGCTCTTGGTGGGAAGGGCTGCAAAGTCAACTTGCAAAGCAGCGAGCATAAGGGAGCCGTGACGGATTGTGGCCGTTTTTGCAATCTAGCACTGTAGGTATCAATCCGTTTTGTGAGTGTGTACAGCCTGTCAACCCTTTCCAAAAGGATTCGTATTAACAGGTTGACACACCTAGGATGAGAAGATATTTGGAAAAGCAAGACCACCAGACTGGTAAAGAAGGTAGTCAAAAGGCGACACCTTTATTAATGTGCTTGCTCCCCCAACAGCCAATCCCTCCCCGGGCTCCCCCCCCAAACCCGACTCAGCCCCACTTCCCGCTCCCCTGGATGCAAGCACCTGGCCGGGCCTTGCCCAAGGTGCGTCCTGCCCTCAGGACACTGGCATGTGGTCAAGGAGACTTTCCCACCTTCTGGCTCCCTATCAGCAATCCTGTTCCCTTGTGGGCTACTGTCCTCTTGATGGAGTCCTTTCCGTCTCTCTGGGAAGAAAGGCCTCTCTGCTCCGAGTCAGGGGTTCATTACCCTGATCTGGAATGTCTGTTTCCCTCGTATTTGGAGTTAGTGAGTGGTTAGTAACATGTGGCCAGTGTCTCTGAGACCATCCTGTTCCTCGAGCTGGCCAGATCTCTGGAGACAAGTGTGAAGAAACCCAGGCTTTGCCTCAACATGTGCTGACTGGCTTCTGTCACGGTTTCAGGTGAGACACATCTGTTTAGCGATTTCCCTTCAGGAGTAGGAAATGGGGCCCCTCCTCCTCCTGATTCCCACCACCAGTGCCCTCAAACACTTAACACACGGCGCGCTCATGAGAGCTGCGTTGTGCTGTTTCTTCAGCAGAGCAGACACTGTTGCTTCTCATCTTCCTCCACAACTCCCTTGTGCATAGCCACCTTCTAACTCAGGGTGCGCATATGACACCACACTGACCTACCAGATGGAGGCAGTCAGCCAAGTGAGACTTCTGGAAAAGCTTGTTTTCCTGACTTAAAAAAAAAAATGGACTGACAAGCCCTTGGCCCTTCCTCCTTCTTCCTGCCTGAGACATGGGTGTGAGGCCAGGAAGTGCAGTAGCCATCTTGTGACCATGAGGACTAAAGTCATGAATTAAGGCTGGCAGAGCTAAATGATAGAAGCCTAGGTACCTGATGACTTATTTGAGCAGCTGCACCAGCCCTAGGAGTACGCAAGTTAGTGTAAGTCACTATTGGTTGGATTTTCTCTTATTTGCAGCCAAACAAATTCCTTACTGTTACAGACAGTATCTTTGTTGATTTCAAAGGAAAGTGTATTCACAAAAATATAACTGAAAGAGCTGAATATTCTAAAGAAGTCCCAGAAATAGACCAGTCAGAGAAATCATTGTTCATTTCAGGCTTCGGGTTTCTACTGTAACTTGCTTGGATGGAAAATAAATCAGTATCAAGGAGGGCTAGGATGCCATCCCCTGAATTATATTATTATATTTTATTAAATCTCAGATGCCATCAGTTGTGAGGTGCAACATTATTTTATGTATCACTATCAAAGAAAAAATGTTCTGAAGACATACCACCAGCTGTAAGAAGCACCCCCTCTGATCCCAGAGATTTTTTATTGGAGGGGGGCATCCTAGAATCAGTGAATCAGTGAAATATGGCATATATTTGCTTCCTGGATTATTGTCTGCCGTCCCCACTGGGGGGACGTCAAGACCCTGTCTGCCTTGCTCTCTGCTGAGTCCTCCACAGCTGGAATTGGGCCTGGCGCAGAGCGGGCTCCATAAATATATGTTATTGAATGAACCAAGGATCTAGTCCAGCCTCTCCAATAACTTCCCGTGTCACCCTGGTGGAGCAAAGCATTTCCCTTCTCTGCGCCTCGTCTCTCCGTGATGCGGATCAACTGAACCTCACCAGGACGGAAGCAATAGAAAGCCCCACATAAACGCCACGCGGGCGCACACTCTGCTTCAGCATGGCGAAGCCTGCCGGCCTCAGACGATGCTTCTCCACCATGCCTAGAAAGCCCCGTCTCCCCCAGAGCCCGTTCCTGCTGCGGCTCTGGGCACCACCCTGCCAGCCAAGCCTTTCCAGCGCTCCGCCTGGATTGCTCAGTGTGCTTCCGGCAAAGGCAGCAAAGGCACAAGGGCTGAGGAAATACGCAAGGTCCTTCAAGCAGGGACCGTGTTTCGTAACTTCCCTGAAGTTCTCCAGGAAGTCGCCATACCAGGATGTCATTGCGGTGAAATGTTTTTGAGTAACATGGGCCTGCATCCCGCAGAGACAGGGTCTTGCCTGCCCCAAATCATGGAGCTGGGGCTGTGTGTGCCCCTCCTGCGACATTGACTCAGAAACAGTAAAGATAACAGCAATAAGTCAGAATGAGTGACAAACCCTTTGAATGTGCTCCCCCATTTAAACTTCAACAAAACTCGTCGGGTAGGAAGTAGCTTTATCCCCTTTTTACAGGAAGGGAAACTGAGGCATGGCAATGTTAAGTCACAGTAAGTAGCAGAGCTTGGCTGTGAACTCAGGTGGGTGGCACCAGAGTCTATGCTTGTGACCATTATGCTCTCCTGCCTTCCACTGTGCTTGGCATCGAGACAAGAATAATGCCCAGTCCCTGCTCTGAAAGAGCTCATGCTCAGGGGTAGAAGACAGACCTGCTGGCAGAGATGGGTACACAAAGGGTCACAGGAACACAAGAAAGAGAAAAAGGCCCATGCCTGTGGGCAATCAAGGAAGGCCTCACAGAGGAGGTGGCTGTGATCAGGGCATTGAAGGGAAAGTAGGAGTTTGCCAGGTAGGCGAATTAGGGGCAGAGCATTCCAGGGACAGAAGCTTCTTGGAAGCTGGATCTGGGCAAAGGGAGGCAGAAGGCGGGGCTGAAAATAAGGGAAGGGCCCCATGGGGAGGGAGTTGCCCTGCCTTGGTCAGGGAGGCTGAGAAGGATTTAAACAGCGGAGGGACGGACTTGCTTTCATTTTAGAAAGAGCTCTCAGGTGGTTGCCTAGAGGGTGACTGTGGTGAGATAAAGAGAAGAGCATGACTCACTCACTGGAGTGGACTGTGAGTTTCACACTCCACCTCCGTGAGTGACACCGTGACATGGAGAAGGGAGGGGCAGACAGACACGCAGTGCAGGAGGGAGTGGACGTCCGTGCCTATGGAGGCCTCCCACAGACGGGGCAGGCCTTCCACATGTTCACGTGGAGTGACAAGGGTCCCTGGCAAGGTCTCAGCTCCCACTCCTCAAACACCACCGTCTCTCCAGTGCCTGAAATTCCACCTCCAGAAATTATTCCTCTGGGTTAAGCACTGATCTTTCTTTTCCAGAGTTTTTCTCGTTTTTTCCAAAGTGGTCCTTTTACTTATTTTTTTTTTAATTTCCAAAGTGACACATCTTTCTTACACAAAAAGGAAACTTAAAAACATGCTAGAGATGTCCTATAGTTCCTCCCCAACTGTGGCTGAGATTCTTTTTTTTTTTTTTTTTGAGGAAGGACAGCCCTGAGCTAACATCTGCTGCCAATGCTCCTCTTTTTGCTGAGGAAGACTGGCCCTGAGCTAACATCTGTGGCCATCTTCCTCCAGTTTATATATGGGATGCCTGCCACAGCACGGCTTGCCAGGCGGTGCCATGTCCACACATGGGATCCGAACCTGTGAACCCCAGGCCGCCAAAGCAGAATGTGAGAACTTAACCGCTGTGCCACCGGGCCAGTCCCTGTAGCTGAGATTCTGAGTCT